CTTCTCTCCTCAATTAGTTTCCATCCATTGCTTATCTTGCTTTCTGGTGCTCTGGAGAATAGGTTGACCCCCTTCTTCTTCGTGGAAGCTCCTCAGATATTGGAATCCTGCTATCATGTCACCTGTAATCCTTCTTTTCACTAGACTAGACAAACCCAATTCTTGCAACCGGTCTTCATGTTTTAAGCCTCCAGCCCCCTTTGTTGCTCTTTTCTACACTCTTTCAGAGTGTAGAGTGTAGTAGTTTTTTTATAATCAAGGGTGGAAAAGTCAAAAAGGAGATGACAATGGAAAGAAGCAATGACCTACAGCCCTTTGATAGTGATAGCTTGGCAATGTTGTGCAGTTTGCAAAAGCAGTTTAGAGTCCCATTTGATCTCTAAACTCTCCTCTTTGGGATTATGCGAGTACAGCATAAACGAAAAACCAAAATCAGTTGCCTTGATGCAACACCTAAGACTAGAGATGGGCTTTCTCCTCTCATTGACAAGCCTAGAAACGTTGATTTATGGAGCAGTATGTTTTTCTGGTAATATTTGGGAGTGTCAGCCCTTCAAAGTAGATCAGTCTAGGCATACAAGTTAATAAGACCTTTATTATAAAGCTACAATAACAGAATGTTGCAGGTCCGAATGTACGTCTTCCCTCTTTTCCTTTATCTTCATGAGTACCAGAGAGTCCTACCTGAAATATATTCTCAGGTTACAACTTTGCCCCAGATTCAAGTTTATCTGTTCTTCCTGCTTCTCAAGGTTATTCCCTCCTCCCACCACTTTAAATGAAGGCTACAATGTGATGACTTGTTTTGTGTGCCCTGGCTGCTCAAGAAAGAGCTTTTGGTACCACACACATTGCAACTGTGCAAATTCTCACCAGATAGAGGTATCGGTTTGTGCTGTCCGTTGTCCTTTACAACTTCCCTGAGTAGCAGGGAACCTTAGTGTGAACACAACCAAGTTGTCAATTCTGAAGAGAACCTGGCTGACGCCATTTTTTGCTGCCTCATAGTTGCCATGAATTCTACAGGGGGGGAAGGGAGGGGGAAGTAGATAAACTGGCTAACAGTCAAAACAAAAAATACTCACATATCCAGGAAACATTCATGGATATGAGGAACGAAGAGTTTGTCCTGGCCAAAGCTATTTGTAGAGACATGATGTCACCAGACTCAAGTGTTATGTAACAATTTTTGAGAAAACGAGGACAAATTCAACTGATAGCTACTTGGACACGATCCCAATGCTATTGGGGGGTTTTTGGATACAATATAGAAGTTGTTTACCATTTTTCTGGGATATTGTTTAGCCTCTTAATTTAGTATCTTAAGAATTTCTTGCTGGCTTGCTACTGAATTCCTAATCAACTCTAATCCAACTTATATTTTTCAGCATGAGCCACTGTTGGTTATTTGTTCAGACTTTTGGGGTCTTGGCGAAAATTGGTTGAAATAAGTAAGAAATCCTGAAACCCACACAACATTTTGGGCAACCTCCAAATCACACCAGACATATCCTGGGGACTCTACCTCTACCATATGAGCCTTAAATAGATAAGAATAGCTAAAATAGGTTTTTTTTAAAAAAAAAACACACAAATAAACAGAGAAAAGGCACACATTCTCATTTAACAACTAATTGATTTATTTAACAATACAAATTTCTTTCTACTGCTTGGTGTAAGCAGAGAAAAGCTGAGAAACAAAATTAAGTTCTTTTTAAGTTTAAATGTGTACACAACCCCGTTCCCCCCAACTTCTTACTTCAGTAAATATAAAATTTACAGACAGAAAAAGCAACATGAAGAAGGAACAAGGTGTTGACAAACTGATGACAGGAAGGAAATTTTAGAATTAATCATATAATCTTAGTAAAGAAAGTTAACAGGGGCAATATTGAGAAGGCATCCCATTTATATTTCAAATTTTCTGCAGTCTGAAACTTTAGTGCATTAAAAAAAAGAGACATGGTGTTAATTATACTATATATTATATGATATAAATATTTGAAAGCTTTGCAGGGCCCATATCTAATACAATGTGAAATATACGATTTGCCACTTTTGTAAATTTATGGGCTATGCAATAATATACTAATGCATTTTATCTTTTTACTAGGAACCAGCAAGATCTTTGGAGTCTCTCCTTGGGGTCTACTTGCCAGGTAACAGGTCATACATTCTTGTCCTAATTTATAAGACAAATGTACCAAATTCATATGCCTCATAAACTCCAGTCATTTCAGTGGGAATTGTGAAAATCTTCTGAAATTAATGATTTAACAAAGATGCCCTATATATGATACCCTAATATTTTCCCATGTCTGTTCTCTCCTTACAAGACTAACTGTAGGAATTATTCTCATGGAAGAAATGCTGAAGATGAGTTGAGTTTATGTTGTAGAGATCAATTGGGAATCTTAACTGAACATTTTTCTCACACAAGAGGGCCCAGGAATCAAGAATGTTGATAAAGCAAGGTTAAAATGTTTTCTTTTGTTGGAAATTCTGGCAGAAGAAGCTGTTTTGGGAATGGGGCAGACGATAAGAGTAACCTCTCTCTAAAATTTGTGGTAGGACAGCCCCGAAATACCTTTGTGAGAACTAGCCTTTAATACCCAACAAAATATAGGTTAAACAGATTGCCTTTATCAATTGCCTAAGGAGATTGCTGTACTGAACAGGCATTTTATTTGGGGAGGGGGGTTTGTTTCAGGATCTGAAATAGGTCCCGAGTTGTTAATAAACCCTTAAAATTTCAAGTGAAAATGGCATTTAGCTGGGAGGTAAATTGGATAGTTTGTCATTTGAGCTGTATGGCAGTAGATGCAGGTATGTCTCAAATGATATTGCTCTAGGTGTCATATTCTGAGGCCATAGGTCTTACAGATGAACCTCACACACCTTGAAGCCGCTACAATTTGTTAATACTCTGCATAATAAAAAAATGTTGAACTCCAGCCAGAAATATACGAAAAGTACATAACTGCTTGATAGAAGTACTTCAACAGCACCCTCCACCTGCCCTCCCTCCCAATACACAATAGTTTTGTTGAGTGTGAACCTAGAAGCCTGGAACATAAATAGTAAGGCGTATCTGTCACATAAACACAAATCATCTTTCTGGATGACTGGCTTAAACTGTTTGGTGATTTGACTACATAAATAAAGGCCTACGGTGATCATGCAATGGGAAAAGGAATGCTAATATTTAACATGTGCTGAGGACTAAGCTAGCCACGTGATGCATACAACCCTATGTTGTTGGGTAGGACAGCCTATCAACCCTGGCGGTGAGCAGATTGTGATGAAAAGCTCCCTGTCAATGTAACATTTCCATCAAGCTCCCCTAAGTGGAAAGTATGCAGTCTATCTATCTATCTGGAAATGATACTGTGTGCAATCCTCACTCAGACATCTGAACATTATGCATGACTATTTGGAGATCCCATTCATTTCACATGGAAAGATGTGGAGAAAGGCCTACATCGCATCTTGTGTTGAGAGATACCGATTTTCCTTTCAAAAAATTCTTTACTTCTAAGTCAATATTGATTTAAATTCTGCTGACCTCATTGAGAAAAAAGCTCTCTTGAAAGTTTCATGACACTGTTTATGACACATAAGAGCAGTGAATAAGCAAATTACGCAATTGTACTGCTTTGGAAGACAGGTTTACCCTAATTCAGAAGCCTACATCTAAAGCAGTGGACATCTACAAATTAGAAAAGATTGGCAAGATCCAAAATCCTCAAAATTTTGGAATTATAAAGATGACTCTATTTATGGTAAATTATAGAAGCAGGTGGGAGATTATGTGAAATCCATTAAAATTTTGGTAATTTGCTCCTTCATCCTGGAGAACGCATAAAATAAGATTCCTCTGCCTGCCATCAACTATTCTCACAACGCCCTCATCAGCTATACGCTCACTGGTTAAGAATCAACTGACTAATTAAGAATAAACTGACAGTGGAGCACATGTCATGTTTCCATCAGCTCCTTGGTATTCAACAAAGAGAACTGTACAGTATCACAGTTCTTAACATCTTCGGGTCTTCAGGTTCTAATCAGATGCAGAAGTGCGGAAAAGTTTGTTGCAAGCAATTGGGAGATGAACAGCTTGTCAGGTTGTTACAAGTCAACAGGTTGCTACACTTGGCAAATTGTGGTCTGCACTATTTGCCCACTGTGTCAAAGCTTTTTGCGCTGCAATGGAGAACAATTAGGCATCAAGTGCAGCTCATCAATACTATTCTTCTTCAAGGAAAAACGGGAGTCGATCTAAACATGAGATTAAATTTGTTGCCTAAATTGTGTGTTTTATGTTTTTGGATTGACAAATATTGGTTCAGGAGATTGCAGAAGAGACTGCAGGACTAGTGACTTAATCTTGCCTATTATCGCTGTGGTCCTAAAGGAAACTGTATTCCTCTCCCCAAACTATAACAGCAACCAAGAACATTGTGGTTGGACCTCATGACTACCAGGAATGAAGGAGGACAAGGTCCATGGAGTTTCATGCTTGGTCCTAATTTTGCTTTGCCCTCATCACATCCTTGCACTTTTGACATTCTACAGATTTAGTGGAAATATTCCTCTGTCTTTTCTGCCTGAGAACAGATGTTGTGTTGGCTAATATAACATGAATTTTACAGGAGTAATGATGATCCTCTTCAGCGTTACCACCACCATACTGGCTAGTATTTCAAGGCAGCGATGGGGAGGAGAGGAGAAATGATGGAAGGCAACATCCTTTTAAAGTCTTACTACTGTTCTAGCTTATCTGTTTGTTCATGTCTATGGCTATAAATGCAAGGTTTAGCATTGTGTAGTTCTGCCTTAAGAAACATTGGTAGAGGCAAACTACAAATCTCATAATGTTCCAGAGGCCTTCTGAGTGGGCCCTTCTTGCCTTACGTTAGTTTTCCCACAAGGATCTGTATATAAACAGTCCTACTGGCTCAGCCCACCTTTTAATTCCAAATATGAAAACAGAGAAGCTCTTCCTTGGGGAACATGTTTATTGTGTTTGAGATGATACACTGGATGCTCTCTGAGCTACAAGGTGGGTGGTGATGAGAGGGGACAAGGATAAAAGAAATCCTTTTCATTACAAACTGACAAAGGTAAAAGTCTTAAACATTTTTCACAACAGCATGTACCACATATCGGAAATAGATCTGGGCTTAATACAAATGACATAATTCCTAGTAATCTACAGCTACCTTTAATAACTTCATACAGATAATGAATTAGGCTAAAATGCACTATTATATTTGGTTGACTTCAGGAACGGTATCCTTAGTTACATCACAAAATACATTTTGATATCCCAAAGAAGCAAGACTTGCAAGTAGGCATTTTAAACATAACTAATCTACAGCTACAAAGTTCTACTCTTGACAGCATTTACCTTTTTTGGGGAAGGGGAGGAGGGAGAGAAAGCAGTATTCCAATCTTCAAAAGGATAAAAGCAGAGAGTAGAATCAGTATAACATATACACAGAAGTCCGTATTGTAAAGGCTATAAAGTTTGGTTGCACACTGCAAAGCTGCATCCCCGCACCTTCACACTGCGCCGAGTAGTCAACATCGCTTATGTTGCGTATCTCTTGGTCCACTGTCTGGCTATCCTGTCATGTTCTGCTCTGTTGGTCAGGTACTGAGTGGCTATGCTTCCCACCAGAGGATCAGCTGCAAGAATTCGGCAAGGGGCAACAGGAGAGAGAGGGAGAGGGAGAGGGAGAGGGAGAGGGAGAGGGAGAGGGAGAGGGAGAGGGAGGGAGAGAGAGAGAGAGAGAGAGAGAGAGAGAGAGAGAGAGAGAGAGAGAGAGAGAGAGAGAGAGGACACATTAGCAGTCGTGGCCCCGGTAAGCCAAGCAACGAGCAAAGTTTCAACAATTCATTTCACACGTTTGCCAATTAAGACAGGGAAAAGCACTCAACGCCAGTACCACTTACTGTTTCATAATTAATTAATCAATTCAAATGTATTAAGGCCACCCAACCCACAACTCTGGATAGTATACTGTACAAATGAAAAACACAAACCCAAATAGCAAAGTTACTGGTGTTTTTTTTTTTTTTTTTTTTGTATATAAAGAAAAAGTAAAAGGACTCTAACCAGTAAAAATCGATAAAACATTCAACACAGTCTCATTCAAGGATCTTAAGTCAGAGCATGGATAAAAATCAGGTCTCAGCAGGGTTGAACCGTTCAAAGCTCTGGAGGAAGGAATACCATTCCAGAAGACAGGTGGTGTGACAGGGAAGGCATGCCTTTTACATCCCATCAGAAGAAATGGTTTAAGAGAGTGGGACCCGAAGAATGCTCTTTTTTTTTTGCACATTTTATAGCATGGGTGTCAAACTTGATCTTGTCACGTGACGTATCGCGATGGTTTTTGCCTTTGTGGAGCCGGGTTGGGCGTGGCCTGCGCCTGACACATCCAGCCATGGGCCGCCAGTTTGACACCCGTTTTATACGATTAGCAGAAACAAAGGTAAAAATGTAGTCCCTCAAATAACTAGCCCTTATACCATGAAGGGCTTTTCAGACCAGGGGTCTCCAACCTTGGTAACTTTAAGCCTGGCGGACTTCAACTCCCAGAATTCTGGGAGTTGAAGTCTGCCAGGCTTAAAGTTGCTATAGTTGGAGACCCCTGTTTTAGATGACAACCAACACCTTGGTCATAGTACACGATAAATGATATAGATGTATAGTATTAGCAAATTGCAGCATCTCAGTCCAAAAAAGGCCATTTGAATTCAGAATCTGCATAACAGGATTTTCCATTGTTCGCCACTCCTCAACAAGATGTGTCATGATAAGAAGGAGTAGCAATGTTGTGGAACCTTCTTTCTCCAGGGCTGGTTCCAGGGGATGAGGAGGAGGAGGTGAAGAGACCTAGCCCAAGACCCATTTTTTGTGGCGTCCTGCAGGGCTCTGTACTCTTCCCCTCCTATTTAGCATCTATATGAAGCTGCTGGGTGAGGTTATTCCCTGGAATGGGGGGAGGCATCACTAGTACTGTTTATAGCCGTTCAGCCTTGGTAATTTCCTGGCTGAACTACTGCAATACACCCTACATGGAGCCATCCTCAAATGTCACTTGGAAGCTACAACTGATCTAGAATTTAACAATGTAAGGAGCTGCAGGTGTACCTCACCCATTTACACCACTGTCTTGTGAACTGCACCGGATCCTAATGCACATCTTAGATGGAACTCAAAGTGCTGTTTGTCATGTACATGGGACTAATATTTGCAGGACTGGCTCTCTCTAGGCTGGCCCATTCCTCTAGATCCAGCAGGGTAGATGTGCTTTGGGTCCCATCCAGAGGTGGTATTCAGCCGGTTGAGGCCGGTTCACTTGAACCGGTAGCGGAAATCCACCCACTTGCCCCAGCTCTATGCCATCCTATTTGTCACGTTTGTGAGGCCGGGCGCATGCGCGGAAGGCTTGCACGCCGGCAAAGTGCATGCACAGAAGGCCGGGCACATGCGTGGGTGGGGGCTCACATTTGCAAGCTGGTAGGGAAGGTAAGTGAATACCACCCCGGTCCCATCCCTTAATACCACGGAGATTTGTGGAGAGTCAACCCTGCTGGCCCTCTGGAAGACTTGGGCGTTCCCCTGGGCTTGGGTTTGGAGATTAGCTGAGCCCATCATTGCAAGTTCTTATGATCAGAGCCCAGTTTGTCTTCGGCTGCCGTTATTTTTCTAATTTTGATTATGTTCTGTTTCCTGCGCTTCTAACCCTATGTACGTTGCCCAGAGCTGCAATTAAGAGAAGGTATACAAATTGATATAATAAACTAATGAAAAACCAAATGGTAGCAGTTTGTATTAGCTGAATTACAGAAGCAGGTCAATTTTCTATTGCAGTCTTTTTTTTCTGATAAGAGACTGGCATACTGGAACAGACTACAAGAGGCCGTATAATCCAAGACTCATTAAACATGCTCTGCTTGTTTAAACAATGGAATGGAACCAATGGTCTATTGAATAGAATAGAATAGAATTCTTTATTGGCCAAGTGTGACTGGACAAACAAGGAATTTATCTTGGTGAGTTATTTTGTTACTGTTATTGCTGCCATTTGAATCAATCTAAAACAGCATCCCTTGAGTTGGTGCTGCTACTCATTGGAAGACTTTCAACCTTCAGAAAAAACTGAATTATGGTCCTAAAACCGTGATGGCGAACCTATGGCACACGTGCCCAAAGTGGCATGCGAAGCCATGTCGCCCGGCATGCGCGACCTTGCCTGTTTGTCTTCCAGATTTCTGGAGCGCATGCACATGTGACAATCAGTTGTTCTTCGCGTGTGCGACAGTGTTGAAAACCGGTGTGTGTATGCGTGCCGGCCAGCTGATTGTTGGATGCGCATGTGCACCAGAACCCAGAAGTCCAGCTTTACCGGAGCGTGATCCCTTCGCATGCGTGGCAGTGCCGAAAACCGGCCCGTGCATGCACACTGGCCAGATGATCGTCGGGCATGCATGCGCGCTAGAACCTGGAAGTTCAGCTTTTCCAGAGCTCAGTCCCAATGAGGGCGTGTGCGTGCGATATTTCTGCTTGACCTTTTCGGCACTCAGTGCCAAAAAGGTTCACCATCACTGTCCTAAAACATCTGGAGAAAATCAGTCTCATGTATCATAGCCTTTCTATTGCAAAGCATAAGAGGCATTTATAGGTTGAAAGATAATCAGAAGAAAAAAAGAGGCTTTTATTCATAAGCTATTCCATACATGCAAACCAAACAAGCCTCTTTTCAATGTGGATTTATCTCACAGGTTTAAAAATCATACGATTGCCAGTTTGTGCCCTGTTTTCAGACATGGCAAAAATGAGCATTTTGTGTTGTTGACAAAAGTGAGAGAAGCAGCCTCCTCTGGCTGTGCCTGTTGCAGAATTAATAATGCTTCTTTTCATTAAATTGGGGAGGGGGGGGAAACAGGAACAAAACAAAAGACAAGGATTGCCTTACCAGGATTGCAGTCTGTCAAGAGGGAGCAAATAGACAGCAAAACCTTTGAAATAGTCAAAGCAGGACTCCAGTTGTCTTTCAGGATATCCAGACAGATGACTCCCTGACTGTTGATGTTGCAGTGATAGATTCTAGTACGGAAAGTAACCTACAGGTAGAGGAGCAACAGAAGGAGGAGGGCGAGAAGATCATTACATGCTTTTCAGGCATAGTTTGTTGCTAGCCTTTTGAAACCTGTCTTGAATGATTCTCCCTCTGTGGGAAAATTTTTCTGTCGAGATCTTTCATTTTTTTGGGAAAAAAAAAATACATTTGTTTCTGATGTTTGTTTATGCCTCATCTGAAAAGAGGTCTCCCCATCTTCTTTTGTAAAGCCTTATTCACAACTTCTATATACTGTATGTCTCAAAGCTAAAAGCTTTATTGTGTTTTGTTTTGATAAGCCTCCAGCATTTTTAATGCTTTCTTTAAAAAAAACAACCCCCCCCCCCAAAAAAACAGCCAATACATACAAACATTTGCGTGCCCTTGAGAAATAGCAGTTTCATTGGTTTCCTTGGAGCGGACAAGAGACATTGCAAGTCCCAAGACTTGTGTACTTGCATACCAAGTCAGAATGCAAGTACAAAAGGGCAGAGTTTGTATTAGGATGTCACCGTAATTCTGCTGTCAACAGTTTAAAGAAGCCTATGGACTATTTCTGCGTGCATGTGGAAAATGGCACTTAAAATATCCACCTTTCATTTAAAATGGGTGAATGTGAGATTCAAAGTGAGGCGCTGCAGGTTTTTTCACTAGTTATGGTGCCCAAACCAGATGATGCTAGTTTGAGAAATCTGAAGAGCGCCAGATTGGAGAACAAAGCTTCTCTGGAACACGGGAGCCATCGTGATATAGATGTCATGATTCCCGTCAATTAACCTTGGGGCTCTTGTTTTTGATTCGTCTATATCAGGGGCGGGTTTCAAAACCCGTTGTAAGCAGTTCGATCGTGGGCGGGCGCGCACTCACGTGCAACGCTTCTGTGGGCGGAGCCTAACCCTAGCAACCCACCACTGATGTATATTTAACTTGACCACTTTTATAAATAAGATCATCATTGGATCCTCTCCAACTGTTGGCATTTACTTAGATGAGTTTTCCAACACAGTAGGAATATGGTCATAGAGCATGTTAGTACATTTTGAATATTGCAAAAGCAATCTTCAAAGGTATCAGCTTCCACAGAAAAACAAATCTCACTCAGGCTGCTTTCCTGAGGCTACCAGCACTCCTAAAAGTAGACTACTTATTCAAAATCTCTGTCTGGTCAGTATACTTTACATCAGGGGTGTCAAACTCGATTTCATTGAGGCCTGCATCAGGATTGTGTTTGACCTCAGGGGGCCCGAGTGAGCGTGACCAGCTCAAAGTCTGGCCCTCCCAAGCTCCATTTTCGCTGGCAGAGGGCTGCAGGAGGCCATTGCAGCGCAAAACTTGGCCCTCCCAAGTTCCGTTTTCACCGGCAGAGGGCTGCAAGAGAGTGTCACAGCTGAAAAGGGAGCTCAGAAGTGCCTCACGTGGCCCTCCCAAATTCTGTTTTTGCTGGGAGAGGCACCGCAGGCCGGTCCTTTGCTGTTCTCAGGGCAGCCCCGCAGGCCAGATCTAAGCATCCCATGGGCTGGTCCTTGAGTTTGTCACCCCTGCTCTAGAGAGACCACCTCAAGATGTTATCAAGTTCAATCTCTGACACTTCCATTTAATTTATCTTGGTGGGGTGGGAGGGAAGCTCTCTCTGGTAAGTGACAGTGGTCAGTCAGTAAGACCTAAATGTATTAAGGCCGGCTCTGTTAACTAGGAACTTACGTTTCTATAGAATACATATGGATGAAATTGGTTACCCTTATGTTTTGAACCATATAACCTGGTAGTTTCGAGAAATATAGTTGTGAGCTGTAAGAGAATAAAATTCAGAATAGGCCCCTTCCCCTTAGTTAAATATTTTATATGGTTTAGCTTAGTGTGACACTCCACTTTTTAAGTGAGAAGCCCTCTGCTGAATCTGAATCGGGAAACTCTGATGTAATGTCATTCAATAATCAAGGACACTACGCCAGGGTCTGACTTAATATAAACTAAAATTTAAGTATTAAAATGATGTGCAAGAAAAGGAGGAGAAGGGGGAAGCATTCCACCCTAATACTTTTGCCATTAAATTCTGTGATTTTGGATGGAATCTTCAGTGCACTCAGTTTTGTGTCATGTGTAACACTGACGCATGTTCCATTCATGTCATGAATAAACCCCTGAAGAGGAGAGAAACCACTGAGCCTTAGTGGCACTCTTGGTGATCCCTTCTCTACAACGAATCAGCTCCAGGGCATCTCTAGGTCTGCCCCATTCCCAGATGTTTCAAGGAACCTACAAGCGGGAAAAGAGGGAAATACCATGGCCAAGATGACTTTGCATTTGAGCCTTTTACAGTTTTATGCCAAATTTCACAAGCCTTTGGAAACGCATATCGAGATAATACTATGGAAATTTGTGTTGCTTACCCACCACCTTTTTTCATCTTTTTTAAAGAAAAAAAGGGAATAAATCAGGGGTGCTATTCAGCAGGTTCTGACAGGTTCTGGAGAACCGGTAGCGGAAATTTTGAGTAGTTCGGAGAACCGGCAAATACCACCTCTGGCTGGCCCCAAAGTGGGGTGGGAATAGAGATTTTGCAATATCCTCCCCCCAGGAGTGGGGAGGGAATGGGGATTTTGCAGTATCCTTCCCCTGCCATGCCCACCAAGCCACACCACACCCACCAAGCCACGCCCACAGAACCGGTAGGAAAAAAAAATGAATTTCATCACTGGAATAAATCTTAATTTTTTGGGGCATGACTAGAATTCCTACCTAGAATATATTACTTGTTAGACTAGTGAAGAGACAAGAGAAAGAAGAGACTGGGGGTGGGCCTTACCTACTTGATTTCTGTACAACAGGTAAACTAACTTGGTGAACCTAGCTTATTTAATAGCAAAATGTGAATCTTCTTCATCAAACATCTGCTGCACAGCTGCAATCTTTGAACAAATATTTATACTGGCATTAAACCTCTATATTATATCAGCAAGCATGGGAAATCTTAGCTTATGCTTCTCACAATGTTAAGAGTTACCATAGATTTGACATACCTTTTTTTTAAATGTATTTTTCAGGAAGCAGTATTAAAACAAAGCAAACAAGGGGTCTACACACTTTTTTTTTTAAAAAAAAAATACAATTGATTCTATCGCTGAGTCTACTTTTGTGCTTTCACTAAATGCCATATTCCACCCAATGTGGCAATTTTGAGGCATTTTAGTTCATTTACACTGATACTGATGATAGGAGCCTTGGTGGTGCAGTGGACTAAAGTGTTGTTAAGTAGCACTTAGCTGCCAGCTGCCTGCAATTACTGCGAGTTCAAATCTCACCAGGCTCAAGGTTGACACAGCCTTCCATCCTTTCAAGGTAGGTAAAATGAGGACCCGGTTTGTGGGGGCAATAAGCTGACTTTGTATAAAAAAGAACACTGCTGGGGTGGGGGTGGGGGTGGGGTTGGGGGCGAAAGCCCTAATAAGCAGGTATATACAAAAGTATGAAGGCTATTGCTTAAAGCATTGTAAGCTGCCCTGAGTCTCCGGAGGAGGGCGGCATATAAATCGAACCAATAAATAAATAAATAAAATAAATACTATTACTCAGGACACCTTAGCTCAACGTCAATCAAAGTGCTAATAAAATGTGGTCAACTGTTTTATACTTAATATCCCTTTTAGTTAAATTTCCAATGATTTCAGGCCTTTTCCCAGGCATATCTCCACTTATACAGGTGCATTTCTTAGGCTGAAAAGGAAACAGTGAGACTAAGGAAAGTGAGACTATCCCATTTTAAGATCCAAATAAAGAGGGAGCAAGGACATAAAGTAGATCCATGGCTCTGCCTCATTCCCACTATCCAAAAACATATCATGTTTAAATACTGAATTATATTAATATTTTATACACATCTCTGCTTCCAATTTTCTCTTTTTGGGGAAATGTGTATGTGGTGGTCGTACTTGTACATCAATGTTGTATGTAAGTAACTGAGCTTTTTCAGTTTCTGGATTTACATTTCAGCTAGCATGGACTAGTACATATTCTTTCCTGACCTTTTTCAAAAAAATGACACTTCTCCCCCTCCTCCCTTATTTTCTGGCCAATAGAAAAAAGTGAAAATCTCCCCCGTTCACAGCCAATAGGAAAAGGGCAAATCCTACTGCCTCCAGTAAATGCATCCCATCATCCACAGATATATACTATAGCATATGACCTGGCCGACTGTTAGTCATGTATATTTTTATTATAATAAGGATCATCTTTCAATATGATCAAAATCAGGAAAAATCCACGGTTTGCACTAGAGCACATGTAGAAGATTTAAATGGCGAATTGTAAACAGCTGTTGGGTAAGGATAGGGTACATTTATGTTTCAGTAGGCTTTGAAACAACTGAGGAAATGAGCGCTTATCACAGAAGCAGACCACAAGTTGAAATATTTGATAATTAAAGCAGCATTGTATCTGATATGTTATTAGATAAAGATCTGCAACTTTTTTTGAGAGAGTATTTATCAAATCATGCACTATCAAGCAAACCAGGGCTTAAATACTTCTGCTTTTCATTTTAGCCACTAAGATTACACACTTCTAATGGTTTATTGAAATAAATCTGATTTCAGGCGATATGGATGAGTTTATCTTCTGAGGACAACCATATACTGCTTTCAAAAGACTTGGGCAAATAAGCAAGAGAGAACACTGTAAGAATTGTCCTGTCTCCTGGGCGTCATGCTAGTTTGGAGGAACAAGGAGGTTCCTGGGCGGGGGGAAGTGAGTGAAATGCAATATCAGAATAAAAGAAGGACAGCATCAGAAAGATGAAATGGTTAATTTCTTCCCTTTCCTCAATGGTCTCGTTTCAACTGCAGCATATACCTCCTAGCAAAAGGCCCTTGAGAGGGACAATAATCTAATGTAAGGCTTGAGCCATATGTGAAGAAAAGTGACTTGTACCTACAAAAATAGCAGTTATACAATGTTACCTTGTACTGTTACTACCAAGAGTAGGTTGCCGCTACTGCTATATCTGGGTTCTTTGAGCAAAGAGGCTCAAAGTTGGATAAAAGTAAGGCAATCAAGCAAGATATTTTATGATCTTTTGGAATGTTTTTCCATATGAGTACAGAAGTAATGGGACTTATGCCCTCCAAATCCTATTCTTCTGTCCAACTGATAGCAGCAGAAAAACAGGGTCCGAAATGGAAATTTCTGATGTCCTAATATTCTCAAAAAATGCCCAACTCTGAAAGCCTCCAGTGAATACCACAAAACTGTGAAGGCAAGATAATGTGGGCCCTTTTGTTTGGCCTCACAGAGTCCTAGTTGGCTAGGGGATCCTGTGCTATGCACGATTTTGGAAATGCTTCATCCAGTTGTTGCTTTTCCTGAATTAAAATGGAAGACAATGGAAAATAGATACAAAGATACAGAGACTGCATAACCTTACCTTTGGTGGTTTAAACGGATAATCAGATGAAAATGTGATATCCAGAAAAAATACGCCACCTTCGTACACAGAACCTGGGGGACCTAGGATAGTAGATCTCCATTCGTAGATGTTATCGCCTTTAGGCCCAGCACTATTAAAATAAGCAAGAGGGAGAAAGAGAGAGAGAAATAAATGAACTTTATGACCTTTTATGACCATTAGTCTTTGTGAATGCCTCCATTATTTATATATGGCTTGGTGCTTCTTGGTGTGAAGAAACTTGTCCATTATCACTTGTGCTTCTGTCGATATATTCAATACAAGGCTCATCTTTGTCTTTTGAAACAGTTAGTTGTGTAGCCTTTTGTTTGTTGGTCTCTGTGGGCACATGGGCCATATATAAAACTGCCTTAAAGCACAAAGGCTACCTAATTCAAGGCATATGAAGAGCATCATCCATCCCCCATATTTATAGCCTTTTTTTTGTACAAGGAGTTGAGAATGGTGTGCATGTTTATTCTTGCAAACTCATGAAATAGATCAGCATAACACGCCAAGAAAGCTTCTTAGAGGAGAGGATCTGAAGCCAAGTCTCTCCAGAAATATTACAATAATATATCTTGCCGTGTACCTGATATAGAGTGAAGCTTTTCAGAAAATAAGGAATTTTATAGTGTTTTTAAAAAGTCTTTATTATCATTTTCATATACTGCTGGCAGTAATGACTATATAATCCTAAAGTTTCTGGGCATCCATTCCCTGGTCTAAGGTAAATAAATGGAATGACCTTTCTGTGATAAGGTAACCTTTATTTCTTGATCTAATACACATACAGTTTTACATACAATCAGTTGCAAATCATTTTCTGGGCTCCTACTAATTCACAGGTGTCAAACTCGATCGTGTCATGTGACGTATCACATTTTTTGCCTTTGTGGAGCCAGGATGGGTGTGGCCTGCGTGTGATGCATCCGGCCCACGGGCCACCAGTTTGACATCCCTGTACTGCCTAGTGGTCCCCAATTCACAATCATTTTTTTTTTCTATTAGTCTAATAGAATTCCCTACTAGGTCTGGGTCTTCTAATCTGAACTGCAATCCCAAATATCCAGAGACCCATCAAACTGGGGAAGATTCCACTACAAATATTTCCCAAAGCTCCTAAAACTTGTTCACTCGCTTCCTGAGAAGTGTTGAAGCCTGAAATTTGCCGGTTCTCAAAATGTCTACCAACTTTGCCAAAGATTTTTATTTTTGAAAATATAGACTGACAAGCCATTTTGGTGTCCAATATTTATACTGTTCCAGACACGCTCTTATGTAAAAAGGGAGGGAGTGGGATAAGGAATTATTAGAAGAAAACAGAGGTGGCGACACCATTGTTCAAATAAACTTCCTCTTCAAAGGTCAGTTTAGACAGAAGAATTACAGTTTATGACTGTGAAGGAACTGAGAAGGCTACAAATACAAATTTAGATTAACCCTATTTAAGAGCTTCTGCCCTTTTATAAAGTCAGAATATCTTGCTTATCTTCATTCCTTCCTATTCTACATTTCTCAGAAAGAACTTCTGGCAAACGTTTCACACAAAAAAACCCAACTTTCTTAAAAAGAAAAAGTGCAATTCAAATACAAGTCTTGAATGGAAATCGCAGAAGACATGTTTGTTGTTTAAAATATAGGACTATGTCCACTTCCACAGCTATAGTTCTCCTTGCTCTCTTGTCCCCATATACTTCTACCCAACCATCAATCTCCTCTACAGAAGAACAGGGAATCAGCACAGGGGGCAAGACATAAAAGGTTCTTCCTTCTGGAGGTGACCAAATTGAATAAAAACTGGGAAGTAGGAAAAAAAAACACAGCCCAGAGAAAGATAATGGAAATTTGTTTCTCTATCAGAGCAAGAAAGTTGCATGGTGATGTCTTTGTAAGACGCTAGGAACTGGGGCATCCACCACGGAGATGGGAGATATCAAGAAAGTAAAACTGGCAGACACAACTGTGCAATTAAAACCCCATCCCCCCCTTTTTTACATGTGTTTCAGTGGTGGGTTTCAATTTTTTTTTACTACTGGTTCTGTGGGTGTGGCTTTGAGGGGGAGCGTGGCATGGCTTGGGGGCGTGGCAGGGGAAGGATACTGTAAAATCTCCATTCCCACCCCACTCCAGGGGAAGAATAGTGCAAAATCCCCATTTCCTCCTGATCAGCTGGGATTTGGGAGGCAGAGAATAGATGGGGGCGGGGCCAGTCAGAAGTGGTATTTACCGCTTCTCTGAACTACTCAAAATTTCCGCTACTGGTTCTCTAGAACTGGTCAGAACCTGCTGAAACCCAACTCTGATGTGTTTGTACCTACAATGTGTATAAAAAGGGGGTGGGATGTTTGATTGCACAGTCATAGCTGCTATCTGGGCTTTTTTCATGTTGACACATAGACACGCCCTGCACAGACCCTTCACTATGAGTTGAGCTCAGCTTATTTATGGCTCCTCTTTTATACTTTTTAGTAAAATTGATTTAGACAAAAGTTGTTTTATAGAAATGGAATTTACACTAATTTAAGAGTAAACCAGAGATAAAAAAAAAGAGAAAAGACTGGATTAGTGCACACACACACACATACATACATATATACACACACAGCAACAGTGGAAATGGAACAAGAAGTATAGGAGGAGACACAAGTCCACAGCAATAAATTCTAAACTATAGAGTGTGTCCTTCTCTGTTGCGTTATTCTGCCCCCATGATTTGACCAGTTTGAGATGGTAACAGTCTGAAGTGTATCTGGTAATATTTCAGATCATTAACGTTTGTCTTTTAATCAGTATCCCTTTCACAACACAAATGATGCAAACAAAAAATTAGGGAAATTCTGACTGAGAGGAGGCAGCATGGCATAAGGCTATGTAACTGATAGCATTCACAGATCAATGCGCCGCCGTAAAATTTCTTTTTTCCTTTTTTTTAAACAGAAACAATACAAAAAGTGGGAGCAACGCAGAAAATATTTAAAACTCCCGCACAGGTCATCGGGTTTTCCTAATTAACTCCTGACATCCATTAAGCATATAGCTATTAATTAGCATTAGGCTTGGAAGTTAAATTTCTGTGGAACAATTCAATTTTGGCACAGGTTTCCTTAATGGCTCTTTTATAGCTTAATGCAGGGGTTTGTGCTCCTATATCATCTGTCAGTTGCCTTTCCTTCAAACACCTCTAATAGCTGGATGCAATTCAGTCAGTTTAATGAAACACAGAATTGACTTAGCAACATATTTCAGCCAAATTAATCAGTCACAATTAAGGTTACTGCCTTAAGCTGTGTGCCAAACTACCTGCTAATCATTCAGGTCAGAACAAGGGCATCTATCAATTAAATAGTCAATCATCTAAAAGCAATAACTCCTAAGTTACTATTTACAATCATTTACTGTACTACCCATTACTGTTGCTTATAACATTATAAAGGTTGCCCACTGAGAGGGAGGATCTATTGTAAACATTTCAGGTAGTCTCCCCCTGTAGACCAGCCTCTCCCAACTACCACTCTTCAGATACGCGGGATTATCATTCCCATGCTGACTGTGGAATTATGGAAATTGTAGTTTGATGTATTAGTTAAAGACTAGCCTAGAGCAGGGGTCTCCAACCTTGGCAACTTTACGACTTGTGGACTTCAACTCCCAGAATTCCTCAGCCAGCGCAGAGGTTTTTATATCCTCTGGATATAAAAAGCATGTTGCAAAAACCTAATTATTCTACTAGCCCCCCAAAAAGTGATTTATACTGTGAAAGAATCCAGAAAGAACTGAAAGGCATGAGAGTCTCTCCAATGCGCTAGCTTTTGTTGGACCAACACAACAAAATTGCAGATTACAAAATTACAATTACACATTAGAAGGTAATGTTTGATTTTTTTTAAAAGTAGTTCCAAGCATTCAATGGTTTATCAAAGAAAACCATGGTGAGCAAACATCCTTTCAATTACCTTTGACATAATCAGACACTCAAGATTGTCTATGGTAAAAATAGCAGTTAAAACTGTAAAAGATACTTATATTATTCAGCTACAGAGCAGTAGCAATCTTGGTTAATGTCTTTAGCCAAGGCAAGCTAATTCAGGGCACTTTTGTATCACCACCACTTTTGCCTCTCAAATCTCTTGAAACTTACAATCAACCAGCAAATGGTTCTATCACAACCAATCTTGATTAAACCAATCAGCAGTGTCCTACTTCATGCTATATTCCATGTTGGGCCACCAATGGCGTTATCCCTTCGTTCAATGCAAGACCAGTGTCTTCCCCAATCTGACTGCTGTTTCTTTCCTTCGGAGAACATGACTTCTTGCCATTTCTATCTTGGCAAAACGAAGTGTGGAATCGGGGGAGAGGAGCATTATATGTAGCCCCAAATCCCTGTGTGGAATGACATCATTCTACCCGTTTCTCCCACCAATCTCTGCAATGATAGATGTTTACACAGGTCAAACTTCTGAGAGTTCAATCAAGAGACAATGAATGAAAATAACTTCCCTTTAAAGTAGAGATGGAGAATGTGTGGCCAATGATGGGACCTAAAATTCAACAAAAACTCCAAAATCATATGCTGCCTATCCTTGTATTATAGTTTGGTGAAGTGACACTAGATTCTATTATATGATGAAAGAGCTGCCTTATAGGCATTTACGCTAGTCCAGCTTTCTCTGCTGTCACTGAAAACTCAGAACTCTTTCTTATCACTTCTGTATCTTTTAACTGAGATGCTAGTGACCGAACCTGGAACAATTACAGTCATATTACAGCTATTACCCCTCCATTTGGTCTATACCAATGTTATTTCATATTGGTATCATATGCCCTGATTTTGTTCTTTCTTTTGAGAAGTCCAAGTGATTCCCAGATCCATTAAAAATACCCTAATTTATTATATCTCAATTGATTTCATCTCCCATAAAGATTTATCAGGCAAAAATATGCTGGAATGGGAAAGCAGAGTGGGTCTATTGATTCAAGGCAAACAATAAGATGAACGGTATCCAGAAAAATCAATTTTCTTCCCTAAAAGACCAAGTGCATTTTGAGGTCTGACACTTGGCCTCCTGCCTTTTAAAAACCTTGTTTAGACAGATAACTATGTAGTTT